TTCCGTCGAGAATGCTTGAGAATGAAGCTATCTGCATATAGAGGATAGTTTTTTTCTGATCAGACCCTTGATGCATTTCCAGTATGAAAAATCAACTAGTTCTCCATCTTTTGAACTATGAACAAACATCTTGAGCCTATAAACTCAGGATGGTAACCAACCTGTAAGCCAAATATGAGAAGTGTTCATCATTTACTTGATCAAGTCGGTCAAACAGGACATGATACCATTTAACTTGTGCAAATCACAAACAAAATTTAGTTACTTATGAGCAACTGAGCAAATCTAACAAAGAATTTTGGGCAACAATATCAAGTTCTATCACCTTGATAAAACTATAATCATGTACAAAATTAGTTGCAAAATGTATTTCCTACCAGGGTTTTTGTATGTTTATGGGGCAAAGAACTTAATCAATAATGAGATGGGAAATTCAATTCAACATTGAATAGGTTGCCCCCCACTACATAATAATGATAAAAACAATAGCAATTGCATATTTTAACATTTTTTATCAAAAGAAAAGTAATGAATAAGATATATCCCCATAACAAATCGACCCTAGAGTTGCTACAAATGAGAACCTAGCATGAGTTGATCTGGTTGAGTTCATAGCACCACATGATCACTCATAACCATAGTATTGAAACTCATAGATAGCATGATCGTATCAAGAAAGGAGAATCCCAAAGTCAAGGAGGATATACAATTACAAAAACCATTTCTTCTGGTTGAGTTCATAGCACCACATGATCACTCATAACCATAGTATTGAAACTCATAGATAGCATGATCGTATCAAGAAATGAGAATCCCAAAGTCAAGGAGGATATACAATTACAAAAACCATTTCTTAAGGCGATGAACCTCCATACATGTAAATGAGACAGGAAAACTAAAAGACCAAAAGAGTGGAGAAAACTAGAACGCTTTACCAGTAGAAATTAGAAAGCTTCAATATCAAAAATAGAAATTACAATGATTGATTAACCTATAAGCTTTCTAACTAAACCTAGGAAAGAACAGAGCTACACGTTAACAAGGCAAAAAAGGAGACGAATGATATGGAGGCGTTGGAGGTTCGAATGGAAAATATTGCCATCAGTATCACGGCAGATTCTAAGCCTCCCAAAGATCTCTAGTCTGAATTGAAATCCTACAGGGTAGCAACTTATACTACCAGGTAGGACTCCCACCTAAGTTTCTAAAAGCATGTCCCTTCACTCCTTCAGTTTTACTGCACAGACTAGATTTGAGCCCAAGCTTAGTAGCTTATGCATCGAAGCGTAGTTCTTCTCAAACATTTTCTCACAAAGTATATCTGAAATTAAACACACACACACATATATATATATATGTATGTATTGGAATGTCAAGAAGAATTTTAGTGTTTAAATTTATATTTATGCAACTTGATTTGGTCTAGTCCTTTCAGGACATTTGAACAAGATTAAAATGTGCATCTAAGATCAACAAAGAGAAAAAAGTTCTCCAAAAATCTTAGAAAGAAATATCAGTATAACTTATTTAAATTGGTTAGTTCAGACTTGTAATTATTCATAAATTCCCGTGGTCAGAAACCAGAAAAAGCTAAAGAAACATACAGTAATGTAATCAATTCCACATCCTATTTTCTTCTCGGCCTCCGGATGGTAAGGAAGCAACCTCTCAAGAATAGTTGTCTCGTGCTCTAGACTCAATCTATCTCCACTTCCATATCTGTAATAAATTTACAAAACTAACAATAAAAAAGTGTTTATAAAATTAAAAATTAGAAAAAAATGCAGGAAAATATAATTACTTACTTTCCAGAATGAATAATCATTCTAACGAATCCAACGAGAGGAACGGTGTCCTCTAAAATCTTGTCTTCCCAATCAGTCCATTCACCTCTACTTCTTTTTCCCTCACTACCCTCCTCTTCTTCCGAAATTCCACCACTGTCCTTCGCCGGCACTATACTTGTCTTCCTCATCAAATCAGCACCTTGAGATTCCCGGCTTCCGAATCTCCCGCCTTCGGGGCCGGCGGTCAGCGCGCAAAATCGAACGCGGTGCGACGTCGTTTGATGCAACGGAGAAGATAAGATGACGGAGGAGGAAGAGAAAGTGATGGGGATAAAGGTATGGTAAAAGTTGGGCTTCAGAAGTGTAGCCATAACGAGTTAAACTGAGTGAGTTATTGAAGCAGTTGAAAGAATCGGAAGAGTTAACGGTCGCATTACTGTTTTGCCATTGGAAAGATTATCTTAGCTGATAAAAAAAAAAGGTGAGAAGAACACAAGACCGCCTATTTGTCCAGCTAGGCGCTTTTTATTTAGGGTAAACTAAACAAATGGTCACTAATAATTAAGTGTGTTTTTTTTCTCTCTATTAACATTTTAAAAGTAACAAATTATTCATTAAAATTATCGATTTACAATAAATCAGTCGGTTGTCATTAATCTCCATTATTATAGTAACAAAATACTGACTTAACACGTTAAACCTGCCGACTTAGCAACTCCAGCTAGAAGAAAATCAAAGGACTCAATGGCCAGAGTGGCAAGCACTTTTTACGGTAAAGAAAACAAAGAAGGATATGATGCAAGCATTATTAACGCAATCAAAGACATTGGAAATAAAAGAGGCACCTGAGTTACAAGGGAGTATTGCGGAAAGGTGATGTAGCTGCACAAAAGTTGAACTCCGACTCTACAAAACACGTAAAACATTCGAGCAAATACATTTAAGTATTTGTAGTGCATGCTATCACCATCCACGACAAAATGATGTAAATAAAGAACTTGAAAGAAAATAGGGATAGAAAATAGCTAAAGGATTGAACTGATTCATATTTTGTTATGAGGCAGTCATTATTATATTCGAGAATCCATCTAAGTAGAAAGTAATGAATACCTGAAATAATGCAAAATGAATCAAGTGAAGAACTAATTGGGTTCGACCAAACCAAAAGTATCTGTCAACTTGTACAAGAGGCCTTCCCTGGAAGAAGAGTGCCCAAAAGAAATATTGCTTACAATGACAGGAATTAGGGATGCCCAAAAGAGTGCTTGTCACCCTGGAAAAAGCATGTATGTTATATTAGCAAACAGAATTCAGCAATAACCGGAGATGATCATTTCTGCCAATGGAGTATCAGAGAACATATCCGAGATTGCCTCTAAGAAGAAGAAGACCATGTCTGTATTCCTTTACTGTAATAACGGTTGTTAATGATGATTGACCAATTGTTATAAATCAATAATGTTAGTGATCAATTTATGTAGTTTACCCTTTTATTGGTTCATATCAGAGTCGGCTATTACTGGGATTTACTTTTATAATTGAGACTCCTAATTTTTTAATCCCACTTTTTTAACTTTATAATTGAGGTCCTTAAGTTTTTTCAATATCACTTCTACCTTTTCTAACTTTGTAATTGAGGGGCATAATTTTTTAATCCTGCTTTTTAACTTTATAATTGAGACCTTAAGTTTTTATAATCTCACTTTCTACCTTTACAATTGAGGCCCCTAAGATTTTTCAATTTCAATTTCTATCTTTATAATTGCGGACCCTGATTTTTAATCTCGCATTTTTTTTAATTTTATAATTGAAGCTCTTAAAATTTTCAATCTCGCTTTCTACATTTATAATTGAGGCCCATAAGTTTTTTCAATATCAATTATACATTTATATTTGAGGCGCCTAGTTTTTTTTCGATCTCAATTTCTACTTTTATAATTAAGACTTCTAATTTTTTTTATTATAAATTTCATAAAATTCTCCATTTCTCATCTCTTTTGTTAGTTCGTTTAATTTTGAACTAAATCTAATTATATTTGTCTCTTTTTTTACAAATCTTATTTTTCAATTTACCAAATATTCTTTATCTCTTAGTCTTCTCCAATCTGAATGTAACGATAATATTTATTTTATATTTCTTAATTTATTATTCAAAATCAAGCTCCATATCATAATTCATACTCACATTCGATTTTTTTTATTCTTTTATTTGTATTCATGTGTTTTCTTAACAAAACAATGAACCTAATGTTAAAAAAAGTTTAATCATTTTTCTATGATATTAAATTAATTGTTTAAAGTAATAGAATATATTTTTCTTATATAAGTGCCTATTTTTGAGTTTTCGCTCATGGCCTTGAACATGTTCGAGACGACTCTGGTTTAGATAATGAATTTTTGCCACTCAATTAGATTTATTTAATTTTAGTAAATTCAAAATATATTTCAAGATAAATAATTTAATTTATATTTTTTTGGTGTAACCACTGGTATCTGATCTATTGATCAACTAATCCGGATCGGATACCGCAGAGGCTAGGGTGACTCTCCCAACCCAGTTTGCTCCATTTACAATGGTCAGGATTTGAACTCCTGACTTTGCTTAAGGGAACTAGTGCCTCATCACACTAGACTAAATGGTTATTAGTATAATTTAATTAATATATTTGAAGTTTATAATTCAACTTTATATTTTATATAACCTTTGTTAGTTTAAAGATAAGGTCATTCATAATCATATGAAGTTTATGTTTTTGGCAATGATATGGGAATTAGCAAAAATTGATTTTGAGTAGTCAGATTAGTCATCTAACCAGATGATTAATAATTCGATTATTAAAAAAAATTGTGAATTTTTTGAATTAAAAATAAATATTAATTTTTGTGCAATTTCTGGATTTTTTTAAATCTAAATTTAATTATTTTCAAGTCATAAAATTTTACAGGGTGCACTTTATGATTTTATAAAATAATTAAATAATTTTTTTAACTGAAATGAATTTACTCAACTCGATTTTACTGTTTACAAATTTAATCCACTAACTCGAAAATTTTCATTTATCCCCTACGCAAAACCCTCTCCAGAAAGCAAAAACATGAATAATGATTGGAATTGACACTCTGTGAGTAAAAAATTGTCGAGTGTTATGGAACAAGCCACAGTTAAAAAAACAGAGGTAAAATCACAGCAACAATGATGACATCGGACTCCATTCAGCACTTACTATGCGAACCTGGCTTAGGTGACTTCTTTTTGGAGAAAAACATGAAAATCTTTGGGAATAATGCCCTTTTCTTTTTCTTTCCAACCTTTGCTTCTGAGGACGGTTGTTCAGTTTCTGTTTTGTTCACATCGACTTGTGCCCTTGGGCAGTCTATAGAACTGTCTGGAGCAGAAAGGAGAGGTTCAGAGTCATCATTTTCTTGCTTTTCGTCTACACTTGCCATCGGAAAGTTTCCTCCGCTACTCGATCCCGATGCCTTTCTATGCTTCCCGTGTTCAGTCCTCCACTTTCTCAAGTCCTGTTCTGTAGCTAACTTACCTTTCCTAGCTTTCTCAGCCTTCTCCATGGCAAATCTTAGTGATTCCTTTCTTTCAGCCATCTCTCGCTTTACTTCTTCAAGCCTTTTCTTGCTTCTCGACTCCGATTGCTTAGCTTGCTTAATCTGAGAAATGAAAGCTTCCACTCTCAAGGTAGCCTGTTCCTCTGCTTCATGTGCACGTCTACTGAGCTCATAGTAATCATCTATGGAAAGGATAACATCAGCTGCAGGTGAATCAACATTATCGGTGCTTCGAGCTGATTCACTCTGCCGCAATGCTTTGATGGCAGCTAAAGCAAACTTCTGTGAACCCTTGGCAGCCTGCATCTCCTTTTGAGCTGCATCTAATCTACTATACATGGTACTTGCAGCAGCCTGTGCTTGCTCCGCTTCTTCCTTTTCTTTGCACAGCTCTTCACGTACCGTTTGAGCAAGTGACTTGGCCTCATCAGCCTGTTGTGCTGCTTTCTGAAGTTGTTCCGGAAGCTCCTCCATTTTCTCTCTGGTCTCTTTTTCCTTTGCCTGGACCTCGGCTATTTCCGAGCGACACTTGTCCAGTTCAGCTTCCAGAGAAGCAACAACAACAGATGCCATTCCTTCTTTTTGCTCAAGGGTGGCAAGAGCAGACTTTTCCTTTTCAAGCTCTGATTTTAATGAACCAGCAGTCACCTTCAAAGAATCCACTTCTGTGGTCGCTTTCTCGATTTTGAGCTTCACCTCTTCAAGTTCCTTCTTCGCCGCGTCAACTGCATCTAGTATATCATAGTGTGAGTCTCCATCTGTTTCCCTTTTATGTTTGTTTTCCATATAATCAGCTAATTCTTCTATTAAATCAACTACCAAAGCTGAAGCGTTGTCTAGCTTTAATTTCAAATCCTTGGTTGACTGGATTTGCCGATTGAGACTCTGGAGCTCCTCTTCGGCCTGCTTTACTTCCTTCTCCCAATAGAAAGTATCTTGCTCTCTGGCCATGACTGCTCCAATCTTCTTATCTTCCGCCTCCAAATGGGCAGCACGTGCAGAATCCAAGGCCTCCTTTGTGGCGATCAGCTCAATACTCAAATTTTCCACCGTCTTCTCAACCTCTTTTGAAGCAGAATCTGTCTCTTCAGCTTTCTGAACTGCAATATCTCTCTCTGTGATCAAAGAAGTATACTCTTTTCTTAGTGTTTCCAACTCTTCGTTGACGGATTTCAGCTCCGAAACTGCATACGCATGCCTGGCTTTAGCGACTTCAAGCTGTGCCTTTGCCGCAACACTAGCCTCATCAGCAATCCCTTGTTCTATCTCCTGAACCCTGAGCTTGGCCAGTTCTGAGTCTTGTTTAGCTTGATTCTCTTCAGTTTGAGCTTTGTAGAGGCTTAGCTTGAGCTCTTCTATCTGTCTCTTTGTGCTCTCTAACTCTTTTAACACTTGCACCTTTGCCTCTTCAACATGTTCTAATTGTTTCTTGTATTCAGGTATTTCCTGTTGCATTTTATCGAGGTGTCGTTGTACGAACTTGCGTCTCTATAGTTAGACAAGAGGAAACAATTATAACGGTCAGTAAAATTGGAAGAAAATCATCATAAACAGCAATCACTGCTCATGAAAAGTATAACCATACTTTAAAATTAATTGATATACCTCCACAGCTTGCTTTCTATGAGCTTTCCAATCAGCAACCTCTCCAAACTTGGAAACAGCTTGTTTAACTGAATCGAAAGGTGCAGCTGTATCGATATGAATTCTGCTTGGATCAATTCGCTTCCAGAGTTTAGAACCATCAGATCTTGGGGATTCATCAGTAGAACTGATAATTTTTAGACGACTTAGGCTATGATTATCCATTTGAGCTACATGAACGCCATTTTCGGCATCTCCTGCCTTTGAATAATGGACCTTGGGGGAGGAGGAAATATTGCCACCAATCAGATCCCGAGAACTGCTAACAGAAGCAGCATCTTGATCCTGCATTCTGTCCAAAGTATCTTGTGAGGATCCAGCTGCAACAGTGGCGATCGTAAGATGGGGCTGAGTCAAACCGTTGGGTGGCATCACATGGTTATTACTTTGGGATTCAAAGGAAGCAGAATGAACATTTTCAGATTGCTTTCCATCAGAAACCCAGTTTCTAGATCCAAAAAAATCCCCGTTGATATCTACTGGGGGTAAAGAAATCTCAGTAGAAGATGCTAAATGTCCATTTTCAGAATCTCCAGTCTTTGGATTGGAAGCAGTAGGAAGAGCACTTCCGTCCTCGACATGAATATGTGAAATGCCAACAAAATCAGTCTTTTGAGATATCTGTTCATCTGAACCATCATGTATTCCCCAAGTCTTAGAATCTTCCATCAGTCTACCCTGATTATCTTTCTCATTTTGATTAAAAGCAAACCCGTTGACATCTCCAAGGGGTACAGAAATCTCAGCAGGAGATGCTAAATGGCCATTTTCAAAATCTCCAATCTTTGGATTGGAAGCAGCAGGAAGAGTGCTTCCGTCCTCGACATGAATATGCGAAATGCTAACAGAACTAGTCTTTTGAGATATTTTTTCATCTGAAACTTCATGTATTCCCCGGGTCTTAGAATCTTCCATCAATCTATCCTGATTATCTTTCTCAGTTTGATCAACAGCAAACCCGTTGACATCTACAGGGGGTAAAGAAATCTCAACAGGAGATGCTAGATGGCCATTTTCGAAATTTCCCATCTTTGGATTGGAAGTAGTAGGAAGAGCAGTTCCGTCCTCGACATGAATATGTGAAATGCCAACAAAATCAGTCTTTTGAGATATCTGTTCATCTGAATCTTCATGTATTCCCCGAGTCTTACAAAATTCCATCAGTCTACCTTGGTTATCTTTCTCAGTTTGACCAGCACCAACCCCAACCCCAACCCCATTGACATCTATAGGGGGTAAAGAAATCTCAGCAGGAGATGCTAAATGGCTGTTTTCAAAATCTCCCATCTTTGGACTGGAAGTAGTAGGAAGAGCACTTCCATCGTCAAGATAACTATGCGAAATGCCAACAGAACCAGTCTTCTGAGATATCTGTTCATATGAACCATCACGACTCTTAGAATCTTCCGTCTGTGTACCCTGATTATCTTTCTCACTTTGATCAAAAGTAACCCCGTTGACATCTACAAGGGGTAAAGAAATCTCACTTGGAGAAGCTAAATGGCCATTTTCAAAATCTTCAATCCTGGGATTGAAAGTAGTAGGAAGAGCATTTCCGTCGTCGACATGAATATGCGAAATGCCAACAGAACCAGTCTTTTGAGATATTTGTTCATCTGAACCTTCATGCATTTCTCGAATATTAGAATCTTCCATCAGTCTACCCTGATTATCTTTCTCAGTTTGATAAACTTCAGGTGATAAAGTTGATGTTGCACTATTGGTTATATGTTCTTCTCGTAACTTAATTGAGTCGTCAGATGCATTTTGTAAAGAGTTTTCCATTACCAACAAATAATTATCGGGTTGGTCTGTTCCATTACTAGTTGAAACTTTTGGAACTTCATCAGAAGCATGGATGCTTGATGATAAAGACGATTCCGACTGAGGTATCTCTTCTGGATTTACATTCTCCATACCAGAATATGGCAAGGAGTTGCACCGAGGTGTCTGAAACATAGAAAACAGAAAACAACACAAGCAAAGAAACGTTTCTTAGATCATTCATTTGCTAAGAACATACAGATAAAAAGTTCTATATACCTAAATAACAAAATTTGAATAGAATTCGGATTCAATCCCTAGGGTGCGTTAAAATCCGATCCAAATTCATAAATAGAAGCATCTTCCATTTTAAATCCCATTTAGTTTATTATCAGCATATCGGCAGATCACTGTTTTATAATTCACAGGTTTTCTCCTGTATTTTCAAATAAAATCTGTTCTTTTAGAAAATAATATAATCATAACCATATTCTGAGATAATGAGATAATATATTATAGCAAGCAAATAAATCGATTATATGAATTAAAAGCCGAAATTGGTTTAAATTATCGATTGCGTGTTGAATTAAACGGAGAAAAACTCGAGATGAAAAAAGAAAGAAAGAAAGAAAGCTCGATTACTTAAGTCGCACGTTATAATAAATGAACCCAGAAATTCAAAAATTCTCATAGCGTCGTTTACACAGCCTAAAAGAAGCAAACAGATTTTTGGCTTGATTCAAAGCTAAAGCATCGATTATACAGGAATTAACAGGAAAGCTAATAAATAAATTTCATTTAAAAAGACAGTGAAAGGAAATGAACTTACCGGGAACAACTAGAGAAAAGGAGAGACAAAATCTAAAAAAAGGAATCGATGATTAAAGATCAGTTAATTAAGAGAAATAAATGTTTATTGATAATAAAATAAATACATAAAAGAAGCCACTGATAAAATTAGAAAACGAATAGAAAAATCCGGGGAGAACACATATATACAAACACTGGGAATAAAAATCGTCTGCCCGTTAATCATGCCTTTCTTTGTGCCCAGCTGTAATAAACATAAAAAGAAAAATTACGATTCTTTTGGCCTCAATAGGATTCCTTTCATTCATGCTTTTCTACTTCCTTTTTTGAACTGAAATATTACATAATTCTATTGTAATCTTTTGCTTATGTTCATTTTCCAAGAACGTTATAGCTTGTGTTTCTCCTTCGCAATCACCTACAAACATCCTTAAATTTTTATTTGATATGTTGTTAGATTTTTTTTTATTAATATATGGTGTTTATAAGTGCGAGTATCTGTTTTAAAGACTTTCAATTATTTGAAAATAAACGCTTAAATACATGTAGTATTTGATGCTTCAACCTGAGATCTCTGGATTAACCACTGAGATAGCTTAATTTGTGCACATGTTGTGAGATATTAACTTAAATTATAATTATATTTTTTCAAATAGGGTGAATGTTACCGTGTCAATTGAAAGTCACTTAAATCACCTAGCATCTTTTGGAATACATCTAAAAGACATGACATCTTCTCGCATTAGGTCTCGTGCTGATCATTTGATTAAAAAAATCTAAAGATGAAGAATAAGATAGGTTATATATATAAAGATAAGTCTTAACATGTACAATTATGAGAAAAATTATATTATGTTAGAAATATATATTATTTTTGTAGGCTCTATAATATTTGGGGTGCATCTTATTATTATATACAATGAGAATTGAAATATATGGGATAGGCAAAATTTTTGGGATAATGCAATGAAAAATGAATTTGTTAATACAAGATATTCAAAAACACTTCTGTATACAACGTTACCAAAGATCAACATCATGCATTTATTCAAGAATTCATAGTACTCAAAAGTCATATGGTGAAGTCAAATTATATCCAACATCTCCATATTCAATCTACCCCAAAATAGAATTCCATATTGCCTTGAATTACAAAATAAGTCCACACGCTTTAGTAAAAATGAAGTATTGTTTGATCACGACCAAATGCTAACTCCTTGCTCCTCAACAACAATCAATCCTCAGTAAAATGTTAACAACGAGTGTGCGAGCTTAACACACAATGAATGACAAAACATTCCTATGTGATGCATGTATCAAGGCTAAAGTAGAACACTCATAAATGCCATCATACGAAACTGTCAAGCCATGATGCACACATAATATGTATCAAATACACACAAATAACAAATTTACATCACGCTTAATATCAACATACACCCTGCTGCAATCACACACTGTATACACTATTACATTTATGTCGGATTTCACACACAATCACACAATTAAATCATTTTATGAATCATTGGCCATTGCTCAAATTAAAACTTACTCATCAGATAAAGGACTCCATACAACTCCTATTTTATTTGTGGACTTACTTAGGTCCAATCTTCCACACTTCTGAGAAAAGCAGTGCACCAACCTTACCACGAAATTCTTCTCAGAGCTAAGCTCAACGCATCAACCTTATCACGAATATTTCCTATCATACACTTATAGAAAACATAGAGTACTCTTTCCTAGACATACCTTTCATATCCAAATGTCATATTTAGAACAATTTCCAAATAATCTATATGTACCAAGAGTAGTTGACACAAGATGCATAGTTTTACAGAAACATTTTCGGTTCAGAATTTTAAACACAAATCAGATTGCTTGTCATGATCAACCCATATGAGATAGCAATATAACTCCACTCATCTCTTTGGACAGTGAGATAACTCCACTCATCCACAACTAAACTAAGTATTCACATTTTATACAAAATAGCTATGCATCGAGTGTAATGTAACAATTCACAAATCACATATCAATAACATATCACATATGCACGTTCAATACACATTAACGACATACTTACTGTAGGGTTTAATCTAAGGAATTAACCTCAACTAAGCCCTAATTTAACTTTGATGACATTCATCATCCAAGAATGAAAAGTCACTCACCTCTATGACGATTCAAGCCAAATATCGATTCCAAACTATATCTATTCGCTTCTGATAGTTGATGCACCAATTTTACATGATCAAAGAATCAAAGAATACCTTAAAGAACATATTATCATGTCACAAAAACATCCAAAACAGAGCAGAAAATTCTGCTTTCAAAACATAGCGGAAATCAACAAAGCAACCGAAATTCTTACCACAGAAGCTATCTAACACCTCTAACACTTGGCCACTTGCTTCCTTACTCTAGAGTTGATCAAGAATGTTCCCAACCAACACCTAACACATTTAAAATACCAAAGAAAAACATCAATCATATTAATTCCCGTATTTAAAAAAAATGGCGAAATCAAGCTTGTTTTCAAGAAAATGATGTCTAAATCAATTCTAATTAAAAATCTATTTTAGTATGATAATAATCATCTCTAAAACGCCATATTCAACTTAATAAAAACTTGAATAATATTCAAGAAAACAATCACAATAATTAATTCCAAAAATCACTTTATTTGAGAAAAACTCATAATTAAAAACCATGATCAATCAAGATCATCTTATTAATGGATCTTTAATCATTGAAGCACAAAAAAAAAAAAAAACAAGATAAAGAATTACCTTAATAGAAGTTGAAAGAAACAATGAATGAAAGATCGATGAAGAATCGACTTCACCAATTGTGACAAAGAAAGTGGCAGCAAGAATGATGTTTGAAGGAAGGAAGGAAGAATGAGATGAATAATCAAGGGAAATGATATAAAAAATCAGCAAAGATTTGATGGAAATGGTGAGGAAAATAAATCAGCCATGGAGGAGAAACAAAGAGAATTTTGGAAAGTCTTTCAATGGTATTTTTGATGAAGAGAACAAATGATGAATCAAGGGTGTATGAAGTGAATTTAAGAAAAGGAATTTATGAATGACTCAAGGTGATTACATAGGAAAGAATACGAAAAGTCACGGTTAAGAATGGAGGGAAAACAGTGAATATTCCAAATTGGTAAAATAGTTTCATAGATTTTGATATTTCGATCCTTTACAATTTAGTCACTAAAATTGAACATTTTAATTCATTTAATTTAGTCACCTTATAAAATCATTTATAAAATACTAAAAATAAATCAAACCCATTAAAGCCATTTTAGAAAATATTTATTGCCTGAAAATTATACAAAGTTTATATTTTACCAAAAATCCAAAAAATCAACCTGACTATGGACTCAAACTACTAACCCAAATTTTGGGACATTATAACTCTCTCTCCCTAAAATAATTTCGTCCTCAAAATTGCCTCAGTAAAAAAGATGCAGATACTACACCTTCATCAACTCCTCAAGCTCCCATGTAGCCTCTTTAGTATTATGGT